CACTGCTGACCTGCTGGATCTGTCCTGGTCGAAGGTGAGAGCTTACGGTCATCATTGCTCCACTGAACCACTTAAGTGTGAGAAAACGTTTGAAATTCACAGTATAATAACGAGAAATTGGACATAATTCTATCGCTTCTTTTCGGAGTAGAACTACTTCCTGCTGTCATCATCGATGGATAAGACGGTTCGTTTGTGGCACATCTCCAGGAGGGAGTGTCTCTGTTGTTTTCAGCACATAGACTTCGTTACAGCCATTGCATTTCATCCTAGGGTAAATATGCCTCTTGTGTACTCTGGTATACACTACTGTTTGGTGTTGGTAAGATTTTTAAAATAAGGTTCTAATGCTCACCAAGGCTGCATGTATTTTATTATAAATACAGTAAAAACAGGTACATATTATTACAAAAGGTATTTTAAAATGTAATTCATTCCTGTGATGGCAAAGCTGAATTTTCAGCAGCATTACTCCAGCCTTCAGTGTCACATGATCCTTTAGAAATCATTCTAATTGGCTGATTTGGTGCTTAAGAAACATTTCTTATTCTTATCAATGTTGAAGACAGTTGTGCTGCTTAATATTTATGTGGAAACGGTGCATTTCTTCAGGATTCTTTGATAAATAGACAATTCAAATAAAGAGCATTTATTTGAAATTGAAAATTTTGTAACATTATAATAATAATTTAATAGTTCATAATTAAATAATTAATGCATTTAGCAGACGCTTTTATCCAAAGCGACGTACAGTGCATTCAGGCTATACATTTAAAAAAATATATTTATATTAAATAAATTATTATAATTATATTATAAAGACATTATAAATGTATTTACTGTCACTTTTAATCATTTTAACGTGTCCTTGCTAAATAAAACTATTAATAAAAAGAAAATAAAAAATCGGACCCCAGAAGTTTGAATGGTAGTGTACGGGTCCACTATGATAAGGTTGTGTGTTTTAATGGCTGTGTTTTTCTCTCAGGATGACAGGTATTTTTTAAGCGGTTCTTTAGACGGAAAGTTGCGGTTATGGAATATTCCAGATAAGAAAGTGGCACTATGGAATGAGGTGGATGGACAGACGCGCCTGATAACAGCAGCTAACTTCTGCCAGAATGGAAAATATGCAGTTATTGGCACCTATGATGGACGCTGCATTTTCTATGACACAGAGGTGAGTGTTTTTTCTTTCAAGCTTTAAATGGGAACAGTGATTTTCGTTTAAAAGAAAGGAGGTTTCCCAAAAGCAGAATGTACACAGCATTGATTTCGAAATAGTTGATTAATAATCACTTACTGCTGCTTTCATCATGTTCTGCTCAGCGCCTTAAATATCACACCCAAATCCATGTCCGCTCCACGAGAGGCAGGAATCGCGTGGGCCGCAAAATCACAGGTATTGAGCCGCTGCCAGGAGAGAACAAGGTAAGACAGATGTGTCCGTGTAAGAGGACAGAGACTGAAAATAGAAAAAGCCTGCAGTTAGACTTAAAACTCTTCTTATTTGCTTAAGTATTACTCAAATACTGATGTTTTTATTCATATCAAGGTGATAAAACTTGACGTCCATCATTCAGTCTCAGTTAATGCTAATCTCCTTTTCCTCTGCAGATCTTGGTGACGTCAAACGACTCTCGCATTCGCCTGTATGACCTCAGAGATTTGTCTCTGTCTATGAAGTACAAGGGCTGTGTGAACAGCAGCAGTCAGATCAAAGCCAGCTTCAGGTGAGAGGAGCAAGCCCAGAAATGTCCATCTCTGATCTTACACTTCTACGGAAAGTTGAAAAATAAGAGTGAATCTCAAGGATCTCGTCTTGTTCTTGCAGTCACGACTACTCTTTCATTGTGAGTGGCTCAGAGGACAAGTATGTGTACATCTGGAGCACATACCATGACCTGAGCAAATTCACCTCTGTACGGAGAGACCGCAATGACTTCTGGGAAGGGATCAAAGGTAATACGATGGTAACAAAAATGAATCGGATACTGAGAGCAGCAGCAGTTACACAGATAAAAATATTCCAGGAATAAAACTATAATACTCAGTAATATTTCTTCGTTTTTTCATTTGTACATTTCTTTCTTTCATTTGATTTGAATTATTATTAGTACTGTTGGTATTAGTATTATTTTACAGTCATATTGATAAATCTTCACACATTTTTTGGCCCTACAAACAAGCACAGCAAACCCCCCCCCACCGATAGTGCAGTTCTAACAACCATTATTGTATGTATTTTAGTGTCTTAAATTACAAGTGCTTTCTGCTTTGTAGCCCATAATGCTGTAGTTACTTCAGCCATTTTTGCTCCGCATCCGGATCTCATCGTGCCTCAGGAGGCAGGGACAGAGAAGCCAGACTCGGACTGTAAGAGTGACAGCACGGACGACTCTGAGACCATCCCATCAGGTACTGACAGCAACTTTGCCAAATAGCATTGCGAGATCACAGCAGTGCACTGAGCAAAAGTAACCCATTCTTCTTCATTTCCTCAGGGGCCCTGAAAACAGACCACACTGAAGTTTTGCTCTCTGCGGATTTCACTGGAGCCATTAAAGTTTTTGTCAATGTTAAAAAATACTGAGTGCTTGTGCTGTATATGACACCCAGCTAGTATATATAATTAATTTAAAGGCTCCTCTCAGCTGTCGGACAGAGCTAAAACAAAATCAGTGCCACTTTACACCTAACTGAGCCCCCATTCATTGACCAATCAGCTGCTGGAGAGTGCTCTGAAAGGTGGAGATTATAAGCCCCGCCTTATTTGCAGAGAACAGGGACCCAGGAAGTTGGAAGGCGGGGACAGTTGAGGAGCAGGGACAGATGTCATTACAGCTAAACGCATTCTTTACCTTCCTTTCTTTTTAATTTGATATCGTTTGGAGAGGTAATGTTGTGTTGTTACTGTATGTACTACAAGGGCTTTAATTTGCATAGAGCAATGATGCCATTTTAATGGATGAGTGAAATTGCAAGCCTGTACGGAGATAGAATGGATATGAGAGACACAGGTAGTCCGCCCTTCAGACACACACACACACACACACACACACACTGACTTGAATTTCCCCCTGCGTACTTCAACCCCAAAATCAATGTTTCTGGAAAACACAAGATCTCACATTTCCAACATGAGCACTAACTAAACTCATTTCAATTTAAGAATCTTTGTCGGTGTTATTTTATGTTGTAAAAAGGATTGAATCGGATTTTTTTTATGTGTGTGATTCCAGAAATAATAATAATAATAAAAAAATTCTATAAAGATTTTCCCCATGCGTGTCGATTTGTTTCTGTATGTATGCAATTAAATGTTTTTCTCTGAGAAAATTAAAAAAATTTCTTATAGTATTTGAATTGTTTTTTTAGAGCAATGGCAATTAATAAACCAATTGTTTGTGTGTGTATATATATATATATACCTTTTTAAGAATACGGTATTTAAAGATTATATTGTAAAATCACCATAAACAATTAATACTCATGCACTGGTTGAACACTCCTTTAGACACTGTTCTGCCAGTGTTTACATGTGATAGACGATCATGTGTGTAAACTATCACAACAGTTTACATATAATAGAAAATTATGGTCAGAGTTCCAATAACTTAGATTAAAGGGATCTTTCTACTGAGCAGAAGGAAGATGCCCAGGGTTCCTGCTCACCTGTGTGAACATGCCATAGTCCTGCCGCAGAAAGGTATATGAGCAATAAACTGCAATGTCCATAATATAAGACAGTGCTACAGGGAAAAAGTCTTGCAGTGGCAAACCATGTGTCCCCCAAGACGTGTTCATAAAAATATTTACAAATGTTGATAAATTTGCTAAAACAAAAGCAACTGAATGTGAGTTTTTTTTTTCCCGGCTGAGTTTAATTTACAATATCACTCTTACACAGTGTAAATAGGTCTTTATGAAAATATATAACTTCCTTTATATTTGAAGAACGTATTTGCTGCTCTTCGTTGTAAAAAATCTACTCAAGTTTGTGAATGCAGGAGTTTTCATCTATACGAGTTTGATTTTGTGTGTTGTTGCGCATTTCAGTGTAAAACAAGATATATATATATATATATTAATAAATCAATACTTTTATTCAGCAAGGATGCATTAGTCAACAGTGATCAAGAATGATGGAAAAGATATTTATGATGTTACAAAAGATTTCAATGAAATGCTGTTTTGAACTTTCTATTCATCAAAGAATTCAGAAAATCTTACCAACCACAAACTTTTGAACTGAAGTCTGTTTTGAAACAAATTACTTGTCACTTAAAACTCGTGCCTGGTCAGGATATTGTGAATGACTGTTTTTGAATAATAATGGGACTTAACTGCTAATCATAATAATTAGACCAGGGGTCTCCAATCTCGGTCCTGGAGGGCCGGTGTCCTGCAGAGTTTAGCTTTAAACAACTTGGATCACGTGTGCCTTAATAACCAATCACATTACAGCCTTGACCTCACTGAATTTCAGTCAGAGTGGTGCGACACTCAATCGCTGTTTACAGATACCATAGGAATAAATGAGAAGTGCCGTAAGCTGTATCCTACCCATCGCAAAAAGTCTGTGATTTCTCTTATAAAACAGCATTTTTGTTGGTGTAAACTAAAAATACTTCAATCCAAAAGTATTGTTTAGTGTAAAACATGCTGAAGATTAGCAGATAGGCGGTCGGTACATTAAATGATAAGCTGTTTCCAGGGTGCGAACTACGGGGGAGCTAGGGGGAGCTCGGCTCCCCTTAATAAGACATGGGCTCCCCTGAAAACGTGATGTGTGAAATTTTGGGGGATCTCAAAACAAATATTGACAATGTGTTATTTTGACATGCAATTTCAGTTTTGTGTAATGTGATCATCGTGGATTATTGAAATCATGTGACTTGATGAGGCTGTTGAAATGCTCCAATGAAATATCATGTGATTAAACTGAATCATCCACTCATCGCAGAGAACAATAAATAAAATGAACATCCAGCAGGGTCTTACCTTGATTTCACCTCAGTGTCTGAGTCATTCTTGGCTGAAAGGATAAGAACAGTTTAAGGTTTTAAAGGATGCCCAAATATCTGCGGCAGCTTTGTTTCAAAACTATTACACAGCAAGACAAAAAGAAAACTCGTAAGAGTGCATCAGAGACAACATTAACTTTTTTTGGAGTTTCGATGTAACTGCAGTAATGACAGATCTTTTTTTCCTGTATCGTGGCATACATCAGAGTGAAACAGATTATTATACAAAAAAAAAAAGACTTGGTTCAATTCAACGGTTATTGATTGGATGGAGACGGATCTGCATGCAAGCTTGCAGTTGATCATAAGAAAGGTGTTGCCTAAGTTGACTAAATGATTGGAGAAGTCCAGTAGAAGTCACTAGATAACCCAGTTTGGATTAAAAATTACAAAGTGAAAAAAATCATGCTAATAAGCAACTAGTTAAGAGACCCTAAAATAAAGTGTTACCATAATTTTTCATCAAAAGTCACAATGTTACAAGTAGCAACAGATCTTTTCTTCCGTATTGGGAAGTACAGTATTGTGTATAAATGTAGCTTTTTTTCCATACTGTACAGCACTCTGCACCAATTTATGTTGTTTCACAAGAAGGTTATGACATCTTAACAAAACAAAAAAAAACCATAAGGTCAAATGAAAAAAAAATCAGAGCATGAATTTACAATATAACCAATAACACGAATTTAGAATTTTCATTTCATGTTGAGCAAGCTATCTAAGAATATTAATGGTTCAAATATTCTGTAACAAGCAGAATACTCCTCACATACCTGAAGTCAGGGTTGTTCTTTTCCCGGCTCATGATGATGGCCTCAAACATGGGTCCCTCTCTAACCACAAACTCAATCATTCTGTGTATCAAGCCCAGCAGGTTCCTATCAGCCACAAAAGAGATGGATGAGAGAATGAACAAGGGCACTCTTTTCTTCTCTCCATCTTTCTCCATTACTCCATACAGCCTTACCATGTCAGTTCTATCTTTTTCTTCTTTCATTTTCACTGTCTGGCAGTTTGAATCTTGTATTTTGCTCTGAATTTTCTGTCCACTCCAAATAAGATTGCTTTCTGATGTTACCATGGCCCTATGAGACCGTTAAGGGAGTGTGTTTTAGTACAATGTTAGCTCCTAGCGTTCAGAAAAGGGCCACTGTGTGGTGTTCTACACATTTTCACAGTAGCAATTACTGGGTATGAAAAGATTTATACTATTTAAAATGCGATTGTATTAACAGACTAGAGAAGTTGCTGATGTTGCTAAAGATCTGAGATGTATCTGTGAGCGTGTGAGTGATTTTCTTGGCTCCGATCTAAGATCAATGACGTCTTACAGTATTTTTGTGATGAACTAACCACTGTGATTTAGGCGTCAGACTACAGGTGAGTGTGTTTGTGCGTGTGTTTCAGTGGTAATGGTGTTTTAATAAATGGACAGAGAATATGTACCTTTCTGTGGGGATTACCACTGTCACTACGGCCTCGGACAGAGTCTGTTCGCGACGTCAAACCAAATGATGAAGATACAAAAATACAGTGAGTTTATATTTAAACAAACTGCAGAATATTCATGATTAATATCAGCAGCAGCTAAACCTCTGGGAACATGCTCGCAAACAGACAAGTCCATCTCACCGCTGCTCTTGCTCTGTCTGAGGAACATTCTGTGTATTCAGACACTTTGCTTTCTCCAACCTGTCTTGCTTCACTAAGGCCATGGGCTCTTTTTTATTCCAGCTTAATGTTTATAAATCTAAACCGCATTACAGCTTACAAATCTGAAATGAAAAAGGGTTTGGACTTGACATGTTTGGGGACTCACCGTTGACATACCAATCAAAAAGTGATAAGGAGAGACCGGCCAATTCCTCTTAAGAGAGTCTGAAAGCCTAAGAAGCCAAACAGGTTGGTAGGAATGAAATGTCTCATTACACAGGATGCCCCCCAGGCTGATAAACATTACTGAACTTAAAACCAAGCAAGTTTACTGCAGTGTTTCTGTACAGTTTCCTGGTTTAATCTGCTTGTGATTCTTTGTCTAGTACAAGATACACATATAAGTTAAATCAACTGACTCAGAATAGTTTAAAGTGTTCCCATGACAATGTGAATTCACATCGAGTTGATTTTGAAACTTTTCTCAAACAATGAAACAATAAAATAATTTCTCAAAAAGGTTGGCTCCGTCACATTTCTCTACATTTAAAATACACTATCATTCAAAAGTCTGGGGTCAGTTCATTTTATTTTTTAAAGGGGTCATATGATGCAATTTCAATTTTTCCTTTCTCTTTGGAGTGTTACAAGCTCTTGGTGCATAAAGAAGATCTGTAAAGTTGCAAAGACTGAAGTCTCAAATCCAAAGAGATATTCTTTATAAAAGTTAAGAGTCAACCATTCCTACCTAAAACGTCTCGTTCTAACACGCCCCCACATGTCTACGTCACTATCCGGGAAGATTTGCATAACGCCGCCCAAATGTTCACGCAAAGATAGAAAGCGTAACTTTTATTCTTGCTGTAGTATTGTTGCCGCCGCCGCCATGTTGTGAAGGCACTATGTGCTTCGTTGTGAAAGCGAAACTACTTTGTTTGGTCTTCCAAAAGAGGGCGATATCGCTTCGTCATGCCTGGAGCTGATCCGTGCTGGTCGCTGAGGAAATACTTCAACTTCGCTCTGTGGATCGCCGGATTGGCTTTCACCGTGGACGAAGCAGAGTCCAGCCCGGGGTCATCACATGTGGTTGCCGCAGGCATCACAATATGGCAAGGGGCGTAACATTTCCGTCACATGCTTGAGGAATTCGGCCAATCACAACGCACTGGATAGCTGGCCAATCAGAGCACACCTCGCTTTTTCAGACCGATGAGCTTTGTAAAAATCTACGCGTTTCAGAAAGGCGGGGCATAGAGGAAAAACAATAATGTACAGTTTGTGGAAAATAATGTGTTTTTTTTTACCTTAAACTGCATAAACATTTCATTACACCAAATACACAAAATAATGTTCTTTTTTGCAACATCATATGACCCCTTTAAAGAGAAACTGACTATTTTGTTTGGCAAGGAAGCATTAAATTGACCAAATGTGGTAGTAAAGACATTTATAATATTACAAAAGATTTCTATTTTAAATACATTTGTTCTTTTTAACTTTATATTTATCAAAGAATCCTGACAAAAAAAATGATTGCGTTTCAGCAAATATATTAAGCAGAAGTAATAAGAAGAAATGCTGGTAACACTTTATTTTAAGGACCAATTCTCACTATTAACTAGTTGCTTATTAGCATGCATTATTACTAGCATACTGGCTGTTTGATAGTATTAGCATATTAATGCCTTATTCGGAATGACCACATTTTAGATCCCTTAATCCTACTCCATACCTAAAATTAACAACTACCTTATGAACTATTAATAAGCAGCAAGTTTGTTCAAGGAAAACGAATTAACAGTGAATATGTGTTCCCTATTCTAAAGAGTTACCAAAATGCTTTTCATTATGCCATCACAGGAATAAATGACATTTTAAAATATATTAAAATAGAAAATATTTTTTTTGCAATATTATTGTTTTTACTGTATTTTTGATCAAATAAATGCAACCTTAGTGAGTATAAGAAACATCTCTCAAAAACATTTAAAAACCTTGCCAACCCCAAACTTTTGATGTGTAAAGAAAATATTTTATCTAAAATGAAAAGCTTTGATTCTATTCAGATTCCAAAATAGGTCTCTTCATTAAATCATAATTCTCAGCCATGATCTTTTGTATCAACCTAAAACCATCAAGAAGAAATCTTTATTCCTTTCATTTTACTACTTTTTTATTTATTGAAAAAAAAAAGTCATCTTTTGTTTACTCAGTAATGCTTCATGCTCACAAAATACCTTGCCAACAGATAAATACCTTGACTTCGGCAAACCACACTCTACAACACCAGGAGACAGAGCATGTGGTTACCTTGTAAATGTCTTCCTGTGAGCGGCTGCGTGGTTTGGTGAAGTCATTTCTGAAGCGGTCTCTGGGTTGGGCGTTGAATGGCAGTCCAGAAGGTGGAGGGGGGGCAGTGGTCTTCAGAACCCCGATGGGGGTGTACAGCGGTTGCGGAGGAATACGTACTGCCTTCCCCCAACCTAGCTTCATTTCAAAACCCATTACTGTTTTACCTGCAAAACACAGACACCAGAGCTCAAATGTCAAACTTTTGACAGACAACAGTCTAACACTTCATTTACACGGGTTTGAGGATTGAGGACACCTCACCATCCAGTGCGGCCAGAGCACGCTCTGCATCTTTCCGTGTCATGAAAGCAACAAAACCGCGGTTGGTGACTCTTGTTCTCTCTTCTTCAGTGCGTGGCCACATGATCTTCACACTGGCCAGAGGACCGTATTTCCCAAACTCCTTACACAGCATCTCCTCTGTCATCTAATGAGACAGTCAAAGCTTAATAAATAAGAATCTAAACATACTGTGTAACACACCTGTGCAGTCTGTTAAAGAAAAACCATGTGACATTTTGTGATTTTCCATGGATGGCAATCAGCAGGTCAAAATACTGTGTTCTCTTCTCACCTTGGGGTTGATGCAGCCGATGTACAGGTTTGTTGTGTTTGGCACCACAGGATCATCATCAAATACTACAAACACAATACGTAAAAAAAAAATTTTAGGCTTCCACTGGGATTCCAAAGTGAAGTGTGTGGCGTGAGTTTGTCAGACTTACTTGATCGTCGTGTCGGGGGTAAATCCAGATCTGGGTTGACTCCTCCAGAGTCACCTTTCTTCTTTTTGTATCTTTCCTCTCTTTCCTCCTGTATTCTGAATGACAGATTAAATAAAGCCAGAACACTTTTTAGCTACCCTTTTGCAACACTTGTTAAAGTCGTGATGAAATGGAGAGCAGATCTTTTTTTCTGTATTGTGACATCTGACTGAAACAGATTAACAAAAAACTGCATATATAGTTGTTGATCGCTGAACATAGGGATGAATCAATCACAATAAAATCAATAACATGCATTCAGAAAATAGATGAACAGAGTGAATTTTGAGAGAAACACTGACTGTTTTAATTCCTCTTTAAAAAGCTCCAGATTACTCTTCTTCTTCTCCTCCACTTTCTTTTTAATGGCCTAGAATGGAAAAACAACAATAACGTTTGACTAATTATTGTATTTTGTGATTCACAGCAAAATGGATTGGGCCATCTATGCTGATTACAGCGGTCATCACATTCCTTCTGACCCGGTCTTACCTCTTCAAAGTATATTAAGCTCATCTGACTACAGAAGACAGAAGCTCACTTACAGTTTTTTTAACTTCTGCAGATTGAACAGGTGAGGCATTCTGAGGTGGAGAAGTGAATTTAGAGGCGGGTCTGTAGAGTTTGCTCTTCTTCACTTCGGCGGCTTCTTCCTCTGAAAGATGAACAATGAAAACATATAATCATAACTCGCTCCTTCCTCCATTTTAACTAACAGCTTAGATTTATAGTTTAAGTAGCCCACAATTCAAATTATAAGCTTTTTAATGCAAGCAACATATAAGCACGCCACTAAAACACAAAGTCAGTTTGAGCTGAACCAGATCACTGGTTTATTGTTTCGAACTGCAGAGATCTAGAGAGACACATGCTTAAAAACCCGAACAAGTGACATTCAGTCCTTCTGACCCGGTCTTACCTCTTCAAAGTATATTAAGCTCATCTGACTACAGAAGACAGAAGCTCACTTACAGTTTTTTTAACTTCTGCAGATTGAACAGGTGAGGCATTCTGAGGTGGAGAAGTGAATTTAGAGGCGGGTCTGTAGAGTTTGCTCTTCTTCACTTCGGCGGCTTCTTCCTCTGAGAGATGGACAATGAAAACATATAATCATAACTCGCTCCTTCCTCCATTTTAACTAACAGCTTAGATTTATAGTTTAAGTAGCCCACAATTCAAATTATAAGCTTTTTAATGCAAGCAACATAAGCACGCCACTAAAACACAAAGTCAGTTTGAGCTGAACCAGATCACTGGTTTATTGTTTCGAACTGCAGAGATCTAGAGAGACACGTGCTTAAAAACCCGAACAAGTGACATTCAGTTCAAATTGTTTTCTGTAATTGAAATAAGGCTGCAATAAAATATTAATATTAGATAAAAATGGCAAAGGCAATAACAAAATTACTCAAATTAAAACGGAATATAATAAAGGCGAATTCAAAATATGAATATATACTATAATAATATATAAATAACACTGAAGAAGCAACTTGTATAAGAAAGGCACAACAGCTCACCTTTAGTTGCATTTACTATGCCTCCTCGTACAAACGTCTTCACTCCACTTTTTTCATTAGTGTCAAAAGAAGCTATAAATTCCTCAAAGACTTCAGCAGCTTTCTCCTCCTCCTGTAAACAGTGAGACAGAGAAATGTTGTACAAGTCAACAATATAAAAATTATTTTGGGTATATTTTTTGAAAAAAAAAAAAAATATATATATATATATATATTATTTCCCCCTCTTAATCATACTGGTTTCAATTAACAGTAATAGCTTTGCATCTTGTATTCATCTATTTTTGGGGGGATTTATGTTTTTAGCTAAGCACCACTATTCTCACCTAGGGAGAAAAATAACAAGACAATTAAGAATTAATTCCCACATTCATTCCTTTGCTTTGGTTAAACTGTAGTCACACTGTACTCATTTATTCCCATGTTTTAATTTAGATAAATCATGGCCACAATCTATTCATTCCTTTGTTGTTAGCTAAAACAAGGGAACACATTTTAAAAAGTGGGCACAAATTAAGAAGTTGTGGGAAGTAATTCTTAATTCACAACCACAATACCTATTTTTCTTCTGCATGAGCTGAATGTTCATTGACTCTATCAAACACATTTTCTGACAAAAACGTACCTTTTTCTTCATTTCCTCTTGCTCTTTTTTTGTTAGTGTCCTCTTCACCCCCACAGATTTCCCTTTTTTGTCTGCCATGTCAACTTTCTAAAACACAACAGAAATGTACTGTAACTTAGCTCACTGCAGTGCAGTTTATTCATTTATGTAATCATATATTCAGGATTGGGGAATTGCATATACTGAAGTTAAGAAACAACTACTCAAAACCCCTAGTCTGGGGGTCAAGACCCTGCATACCTGACAAATATCACAAAGTACTTCACTTAATGACAAGACTTCTGAGAATAAGAGGGCAAATAACAAAGCAAATTTCCCAGAACAATGTGAGTCATACAAAAGCCATTTTTGCTCTCCATCCGTATGACCTCTTGATCTGTACTGAGGACAGCAGGGATGCAGGATTTTGAAGATGCAAAGCAGATGCTGGATTACGACACCAGCCCTGTTAAGCACAATAAGACAGTGGTCTATATATCCTGTAAACACCTTGTTTGTGTAGGATTGGCGGCACGACTACATGCCATGGCTCTACTTGCTTTTATAAGTTATAACATTATCTTTCAATAGTTATAGACCTGCTGCTAGTGGTGTCTCTATAACTCAGTCTGAAACCGTTTTCCAACCTAGTGAGCTGCCTATCTAGACAGCGTTCGTGGGCATCACGGTCGCCGACAGACCCCCAAAAAGCTGTCTATGTGTGCAGCTCACCAGGTTGAGACAGACAGCCTATGTGTGTACGTTAGCGTGCGGGCTAACAGCTCTAGTTCTCCTGGCCTCGTTCAAACCTCAGACAACCTTCTGCGGTCAACTGCTTTAACGCCACTGGAGGACGCAATGAAGACATATCTGATGCTGCAACCAGTTGCACATCTGTAAACAATCTATATAGCGACTTACACAGTTCTTGCGTTGCAAAAATGAAACCGTTCGTTTGTTGCTAATCCGCCATTTTGAATTCACTAGAAATGGAGATAGCGGAAAAGTGACGTCACGTGACCAACACCAATCAGAGCTCAAAACGCCTCATTCTGCGACTGCAGCGGATGTTTCAGACTCCAGTCGCGCGTCTTTAAAGTTGTATACGTTATACAGTTACGGTTGTATTAATTATGACTTGATTATAAAATGGCAATAAAATGAACAGTCTTCAAGACCTGAGCGTATGCGAGGCTGTCAACCAACCTGATGTTCATTTTGATAACATCATGTGTGAGACAAAACAACTAATATGACAGAACATCACAGAATTCATCTATTGTTAAAGGGGTCATATGATGAGATTTAAATTTTTCCTTTCTCTTTGGAGTGTTACAAGTTCTCGGTGCATAAAGAAGATCTGTAAAGTTGCAAAGACTATAGTCTCAAATCCAAAGAGATATTCTTTATAAAAGTTAAGAGTCAACCACTCCTACCTAAAACGGCTCGTTCTAACACGCCCCCACATGTCTACCTCACTATGTGGGAAGATTTGCATAACGCTGCCCAAATGTTCACGCAAAGAAAGAAGGCATAATTTATTCTCGCTGTAGTATTGTTGCCACTGCCATGTCGTGAAGACACTGTGTGCTTCGTTGTGGAAGCGAAACTACTTTCTTTGGTCTTCCAAAAGAGGGCGATATCGCTTCGTCATGCCTGGAGCTGATCCGTGCTGGTTGCTGAGGATATACAACAACTTTGCGCTGTGGATCGCCGGATCGGCTTTCACC